GCTGGCAACCCTAAAAGTAAAGGTAAAGGTTCCCTTGCTTGAAAGCCAGTCGAGTCCGACTCTAGGGTTGCGGTGCTCATCTCCGTTTCCAAGCCGAAGAGCCATGTGGCCGGCATGACTAAACACAAAGGCGCACGGAATGCTGTTACGTTCCCACCAAAGTGGACCCTATTTATCTACTTGCAATTTCTTGCTTTCGAACTGCTAGGTTGGCAGGAGCTGGAACTAGAGACAGGAGCTCACTCCATCTTGCGGCACCCGGGTCTCGAACTGCTGAACTACTGACCTTCCACAGCCTGCAGTTCAGCGTCTTAACCACTTGAGCCACCGCAGGTTAGAGAGCTATCTAGGACAGAATCACGCAGAATGGGGGGGGGGGCTTGGCAGCTGAATGGTATACAACAGCCCTGTAATGTAGCTCGCCACTGTCCTTTTTGCTGCAGGGTTGGGGGAAGGAGGGAGCTGAGCCCAAGAGGCGTACAATAACTCTGTAGTCCAGTGTCACTATCCCTGGAGCTGAGGTTGAGAGGTTTACATAAGGCCGCTTAGTCAGAGGTGAGATTCGAACCAGGGACTTGACCTAACTTGGAGGTCAGTCTTTTTAACAGCTACGCCATGCTTGAATCCTGCCTGGCTTCCTTGGTCTGTGGCTTTTTATAAGCAGCAGCAGAAATTTGGGGGCCTGACAGGTACTGGGAAAGGGATATGAAGAAGAAGGAGGAGGAGGAGATTGGCTTTATACCCTACCCTTCACTACCCAAAGGAGTCTCAGAGCAGCTTACAAACTCCTTTCCCTTTCCCTCCCCACAACAGACACCCTGTGAGGTGGGTGGGGCTGAGATAACTGCTCATGAGAGAACAGCTCTGAAAGAACTTGTAACTGACCCAAGGTCACACCTGCAACTGCATGTGGAGGAATCAAATCCGGTTCTCTCAGATTAGAGTCCATGTTCCAAACCACTACACCAAACTGATGAATAGATCAAACTGGAAGTTTGACCAGATGGTTAGAAAAGACGTGGTGTGCACCAAGATCCCATTTTGTCTAAAATGGACTGTGTAGACAAGGATGAACTGAATTGGTTGGTTGACCTCAGGAACGTTGGAGACCCAAACTCAGCTTGGCCTCTGCACCTCTATGCCCAACCTGGTTATCCGCTCGGCTTCATAGCATATAAAGCAATACAGACGAAACAGCACCTGAACGTGTGCAGAGTGCCACTGAATGACCATGTGTCATTATTAGGGCATGCATCTCTGGCACTGCTACTTCCAAATCGGCTTGAACTGCATCTCTAGTCTCCCCCCACCCCTCACCCCCGGCACAATAACCAACTGGTCGAATTAATTCCAGACCCATCACGGACTTGAGTACAGGTCATAGATATTTATTCCTTTGTTTTGTGTTTTCACATATGTTGTTGTGTCCTTGTGAGTCTTATGACAGAAATATGTGAAAGAACTCGTGATGCGTTCATTCCGCTGCCTCGGTAGTCACCCAGGGGAATCAGGAAGGGATTTCCCTCCTCAGACGTAGGAGATTTTCCTGCATCGTCTGGATTGTCTGGGGATTGCCACAATTTCAGGCAGGCTGCTTGAAGGCCCCAGTGATCAGAATACGGGAAGATTAATCAATGGCTTTTGCTCCTAGAGATGAGTTCTGAGTGGCTCTTAGCAGGCACGGGATAAGAGGACGGGTTCTCTTATGGATTAAAAAACTAGTTAAACGACAGGCAGCAAAGAGCAGGAATCCACGGGCGGCTCTCACAATGGAGGGAAGTAAGCAGTGGGGTCCCCCAAGGATTGGTATTGGGGCCGGTGCTATGAAGATTTCCGGTTGGCTCCAGATTTCTGCAGCCTGAATCCTATTGTGCTGTTTATCGAATGTCTTATTCTGCGGATTGTATATCGATTCGCTCTGCGTGATCCAGTTCAGGGTTCCTAGCTCCGGGCTGGGAAATTCCTGGAGATTTTGTGGTAGACCGTGGGGAGGGAGGGGTTTAGGGGGAGGAGGGACTTCAGTGGGGTATAATGCCATACAGTCCACCTTCCAAATGGGCCATTTTCTCCAGGGGAGAAAGGGATGCCAACCTCCAGGTGGGACCTGGGGACCCATCCAGAATTACAGCTCATCTCCAGACTACAGGCATCAGCTCCCCTGGAGAAAAAATGGGTGCTTTTAGGGTTGCCAACCTCCAGGTGGTGACTGGAGCTCTCCTGGGATCACAACGGATCTCCAGGCAACAGAGATCAGTTCCTATGGAGAAAATGGCCCCTTTGGAAGGTGGGCTCTGTTATATCCCATCAAAATCCCTCCCCCTCCCCGAATCCCACCATCCTTAGGCTCCACCCCTGAATCTCCAGGTGTTTGGAGGGTGGACTCTATGGCACTGTACCCCATTGAGGTCCCGGTCCTTCCTAGTCTCCACCCCCAAATCTCCAGGAGCTTCCCAGCCTGGATCTGGCCATCCGACCGCTCCTCCCAGTATGGTTGCCAACCTCCAGGTGATGGCTGGAGATCTTCTGGGATCACAACTGCGCTCCAGGCGACAGAGATCAGTTTCCCTAGAGAAAACGGCCACTTTGGAAGGTAGAGTCTATGGCGTTATATCCCACTGAAGTACCTCCCATCCTTAAACCCCACCTTTCCAGGCCAAATCCCCCAAATCTCCCGGAATTTCCCAACCCAGAGCTGGCAACCCGACCTCCCAGGTTCCCTGGCCAAGCCCTTTGAGGATGGCGCCGGTATCAGCCCCGCCCCCTTACGCTGTTGCTTTTTTTCCTCAATGGCGGAGGAGCCGAGCAGTCGTGGGAAGCGGCGGGTGGGAGGGGCGCTTGGGGCGGGGAAAGGGGCGGGGCTCCGCGGGGAAGAATTACTCAGCGAAACCGACCGAGCGGCGCTTAAAACGCCGCAGCCGGAGCAGAGGAGCGGTTTAGGAGGGGAGTGCGGCGGACAAAGGGATCGCGGAGGGAGGATCCCCGGGATCCGCGCCAGATCCTGCGCCGCCTTCTCCCGCTCCTCATGGCTGCCTTCCAGAGCCGGGGCGGCGGGGCTTGCCGATTGCTGCTGCTGCTTCTGGCGCTCTTGCGAGTGAGTAGCCGTGGCTTGGTCTGTGCAGGGCGCCGCGGCTGGTCCCCCGATGGGGAGGGCTGCGGAAGGAAAGGGACCGAGGCGTCCCTCCCCGGCTTCTGGCGAGTAGCTTGGGGGGGGGCTCTCCCTCCCCAGTTTTTGGCCAGCCCTTTGCAAAGGGTCTGGTGATGGTCGGTGTTTTCCCCACGCTCCTTTCCAGTGGGCTTGTCCGCTCAAGCGAGCAGCCCAAAAGACCAGCTCGGCGCGGGTATCGCCTGCGGTCTCCCTCTCCCACCCACCCCAACCCTTTGTCTGAGACGCTGCTGCAGTCGGGTCATGCGCCCTGCAGTTCCTGCGGGATTTCGGGATGCTTCTTGGGAGTCCTTTGGCGAGCCTCCAGGCGGAGAGGCGGGCCATGAAGGGGCTGGGGGCGCAAAAGATGATGCGCGGCTTTTGGGGGCGCCCTGGTTGGGGCTGGAAAGGGGCCGTCAAGTCACAGCTTATGGCGACCCTGCAGTGTTTTCAGAGCCAGTGAGGTGCAGAGTTGGTTGGCCGTCGCCTGCCTCTGCAGTGCGACCTTGGACTGCCTGGAGAGGGGGGGGTCTATCCAGGGTACTAACAAGTACTAACCAGGGCTGACCTTGCTTAGCTTCCAAGACTGGGATAGCCTGGGCTGTTCTGGACTGGTCAGGGCAAGCCGTAGACAGGTGGTTTGGTTTGCCATTGCCTGCCTCTGCTCAGAGACCCTGGACTGCCTTGGTCGACTAGTCTCCCGTCCAAATACTGATCTCCTTACTTGGCCAACAGGAGAGCTGCTTTTCGTTTATAATTGTGCAAAACGCTCCCCTTTATGAAACAGGGTGTTCTTTAGCTATGTTTGTATGGTGCTAACTCCTAATAGAAGATTTCCAGGCAATTTACAACTTCAAACAATATAATCCTATGCAGATTTGTTCCTTTGGTTTCGTTGGGTTTAGACTGGAGTAACTTTGCATAAGATTCTCTGTTTTTGAAACAGCTCCTGGATTTAAAAAAAGAAAAGACTTTTGGGACATATAATACACAGAGGGTGTTGGGTGGCTATGATCCTGCATCGTGCCTTAATAGCAAGCCAGGATGTTTGAAGTCTCTGGGAATCTGTGTCTTGACTATCAATGAAAGAAAGGGCACTCTAAATGAAGGGAATGAATCAACTGGAATCCAGAGTTGCTGTTTTGGGACCAAAATATTTGACAGCATCCTCTGTAACGGAGCAATGCAGGAGGTACTCTAGAGATTGACTCTGGAGTATCTTTTTTTAAAATAAATAACATATTTTTATTTTGTAAAACATCAGTGAACATACAAATACAAACATTTAACACTTAAATAGCATAGTACAAGGCTTAATTGTAAAGTGTCAGTTAGAAACTGCTTATAAGGTTGCAATGAAATCTTGGTGAAACGTCATTTCTAGATTGTTGGGGGGGCAGTCAGTATGCGGGCAGATTAATCCTTTGGCATTTGATTGTGTGCAAGTCGATGCGATGTAGTGGTTTGTCTGACGTAATTACGCTGGAGAGAACTGACTTCTAGTCTCCACATCCATAAAGGACCAGTGGCATGCTCACAACCTAACCCACCTTGCAAGGTGGTTGTGTGGATAAAACAGAGGCAGGGAAACCCTTGAATGCCCCCTGAACTCCTTGGAGGAGAGGTGAGATAAAACCTGAGTTGGTTTTTATACCCCCCCCCCTTCACTTGGAGTCTCAGAGCGGCTTACAATCGCTCTCTCAAGAACTGCCCTTGGGAGAACAACGATGAGAGAACTTGTGACTGACCTAAGGTCGCACCAGCAGCTGCATGTGGAGAAGTGGGGAATCAAACCTGGTTCTTCCAAATGACAGTCTACGCTCCTAACCACTACGCCAAACTGGCTCTCTGGTCCACAAGCATCGATTTGGAAAATGTGCAGGTTTTAATAGGATTTTGGGGTATGCTTTCTGTGGCAGGTGATAAATAGTTCCTTATTGCATTGGGGAGCTGGCTGTGAGCATGTAAATTTGACTCCTTGGCTGCCTTTAGGCATAGTAGCACACTGCAGTTTACACTCCACCTACTGATGTTTGTTACATTCTCAAAGCAAGGGTGTGGACTCAGGATCACTTAACAGTTAAGGCGTGACGAGTCTGTGATGAATGGTTCTGGATCTTCGCTCTCTTGTTTTAAGAATGAAAATGCCTTGAGGGATTGGACTCTGCAATCCAGCATAGATGGCGCGCATCCAGAATGATTGTCAGTGAATGTTCTGCCTTCCCCAACCTGATACAAAACAGCCTTCAGTTTTAAGCAGAGGGGGGAGAGGGGTGTGGAATTCTGTAAGAGGCCTATTAGCCATGATGGCCGAAAAAATGGAACCTCCATATTCAGAGGCAGTATATCTTCAAATCTCAGTTGCTGTAGAGGGATGGTTTATTTCTGTTGTGTCCTACTGGCGAACGTCCAAGGGGGTGTGTAGCCGCTGGCAGATGGAGTGCTTAAATGGACCTTTGGTCGGATCCACTAGGCAGTGTCGTGCAAGTGACAGATGGGTGCGTGGGCGGTCTGTTACAGCGCTCAGACTTTACTGCTTCTCTCCCCCTGTTCTTTACTAAATGCTGCCGTTTCCTTTCCCCAGGTAATGCCTTCGGCTGCCAATATCCCCTGTCAGGGCCAAAGCGTCCAAGAGTAAGTAAGAAGCGAGCTGCTTAAAAATCCGTCTCCTTTGAAAGCTGTGTGCTGATGCTTCGTTCGCAGATGCAGGAGAATGAGGCATTAGTGCACTGTGCAAATGCTATTAGTTAATTGAGGCATTCACAAGCAGTGTTCCCTCTAAGCCGAGTCAGTGTGAGTTAGCTCACAGTTTTTAAGCCTCTGGCTCACACATTTTGGCTCAGAAAGGATGGCTCCAGAGCAAACTAATATGCAGTAGCCAAATTGCTTGCCAACAATTTTAATGTCAGTAGCTTACAAAGTAGAATTTTTGTTCACAAGACTCCACAGCTTAGACGGAGCATTGTTCACAAGGACACACCTTTATATTTCAGATTTGTAAATCAAAGATCTTTATTCGATTTAGGATTTTTTTTGGAGCCATGTACTCTGTCCTGAGCTACTTTGGCAGCCGGCTGGGTAAAAACACAATAGAGCTTATGGCTAGGAGCCTAACTAGTTAATGGTTAACCAGGACTTCTGGATTCAGCTGGCACTTTGGGTAGGCTGTGCTCCCTCAGCCGCCCCTTGCCATTTGTAATGTGGGGGCAGCATTGGCCTGCCTTGTAAGGCTGGTGTAAGGATTACTGAAATGTTGCTGGTGAGCAGCAGTGTTCCCTCTAAGCCGAGTTAGTGTGAGCTAGCTCACAGTTTTTTAGCCTCCAGCTCACTCATTTTTGTCTTCACTCAGGAAGGGTGGCTCCAGAGCAGTGTTCCCTCTAAGCTGAGTCAGTGTGAACTAGCTCAGTTTTTTAGCTTCTAGCTCACACATTTTTGTCTTAGCTCAGGAAGGGTGGCTCCAGAGCAGTCTAATTTATGCTAGCCAAGTCGCTCACTCACAACTTTAATGCCACTAGCTCACAAAGTAGAATTTCTGCTCACAAGACTCCACAGCTTAGAGGAAGCATTGCTCCAGAGCACACTAATTTATGCAGTAGCCAAATCGCTCGCTCGCAACTTTTATGCCAGAGGCTCACAAAGTAGGATTTTTGCTCACAGGACTCTACAGCTTACAGGGAGCATTGGTGAGCAGGATCAAAGCCCCCTTTTTGGAATTCTTTTCTAAAAATATTTCTGTCTTGGAAGATACCAGTACACTGAGGATCAGGGCTATTTTTGGACAGGAACGCACAGGAACGGAGTTCCGGCTGGCTCCTGAGTTGGCCACGCCCAGCAGGAACTCATTAGCATAATAGGCCACACCCAACAGCAGAAACTCGTTAGGATTGGCTACATTAGGGGTGTGTGGCCTAACATGCAAAGGAGTTCCTGCTCCAAAAAAGCCCTGGGTTTTGACCACAAACAAGGTAAACAGATTAAGAAGCAAAAGGTGGGTGTGGCTGGATGACCACACTTCTGGTAACATGGGAATGTGGCCTAATATGCTAATGAGTGGTGCAGTCAGGGGGTGTGGCCTAATATGCTAATGAGTTTCTGCTGCTGGGTGTGGCCTATTATGCTAATGAGCTCCTGCTGGACTTTCTCTACAAAAAAAGCCCTGCTGAGGATACACTGCCATTTAGCAGAGGAAACCATTCTGGGAATCAGATAATTCACAAGCGGTGATTTGGGGCAGAGTTGATGTAATTGACGGAGATGAATTTGGTGGCGAGTGAGAGCGGGTTTGGCGTATTCCCACGTGGGAGAAAGACTCCCGATATTTTGAAAAGACATAGCTTAGTTTCTTGCCATTCCATTTTTTAAGAAATCCAATTTCACTGTTAGGTCTCTGTACGCTGCGTTTTGAAGGATCGTTGCCGTAGGTAAAGCTCAGCTTTCCAAAATGGCGCGTCCGCTTCTTTGTCTTTATAGCCATCACGAGAAACTGAGATTGTTCTTTGGGAGGCTTGTTACAAATTCCTAGGAGTGTTCGCTTTGGAAAGAGGTCCGGGCAAACGGTCTTGGCCTTTAACTGTTTCCTTCTTTTCCTTCGGCAGGTGTGCCCAGCAGACCGGGAGCTGGACCAGCTTGTGGTATGTCTGGTGAGTTCGGTTTTCTCTCATTGTGCTTTTATAATCATCACCTTATGGTGTTTTGAGGAAAGCGCATCGTCTGTTGTGGCACTGGTACCCCCTTCTTTCTGGCTGTGTGCCCAGCATGGTGGAATAGCGATGACCTTTCCCATGTCAGAATATTCTCACGTCTGTTTTTCTTGACTGAGAGGGTGTGTTCAGACGGGGCCTTTGCAACGGTATAGGTGCCGGTTGGAATTGGTGTACTTACCGGCATTCACACGACAAACATCTGCCTTCCGTCCCTAACCGTTGCAAAGAGCTTTAAACAGTTGTATTCTGCCACTAGGTCCCCAAGTGGTGGTATCCTGAGTGCCACGGTTGTAATCGCTTCC